CTACCTCACGATTCCTCTTTTGCTCTCTCTTTCCCCCTATTTTGGGTTCTTTAATGCTCAGGACTTCACAGAACTTCAAGAATCAAGAAAGGAAATAAAATAAAAAGAGGAAGAAAGGATAACCCTAACCAAATGGTGCTTGTATGCTGATTTTGATTTCATGTTTCTAGAATAGGAACTGCTTTACCACATAGCTTACTCAGATAAGCATTATCTATCTATAAGAAAATAGAAAGAGTTTTTTTTTATTTTTATATTTTTTATCCTTGAAAAACAATTTTTAATTAATGTGTATAATGAAAGTGTATACATGCATTAATTAGGGTGTCATAATATATATTTTAACAAATGATTAGCATTTTTTTTCATTAAATTTCATTTATATAATTTTTTAATTTTTATCCTTAAATGTCATGTTACTAAATATTGATAAATTATGACATGGCAACGTGTAAATTGTTATTTTCTTTTGGGACCTGTGTGTGTAAAGAAGTAAAAATGTAAAATTATATTAAAAGTTAATTTCTAACTTATAAATTACTACAAATTATTTATTATAAACAATATTTTTAATATATTACATGTATTTATCATTAAAATCCTTTGACTCCTTGTGGAAGACTAACCCTTCCCTTCCAATAGATCCCACTACCGTTGGTGTAAATATAAGATATTATCAATATTAAATATTTGACTAAATTATACTTTAGTCTTCTTATTTTTTTAATTCACAATTTTGATTTTCCTAATTTAATAAACATTTAATCTCTCTACATAAAAGTAAAAATAAATTGGTCTTCTATGATGATAACTAAACTTCCTTTTTTCCCTCTGCCTATAACAACAGTTGGAGAGGTGTCATATATTAGGTAAAAGAATTGTTGAGACTTATAAAGAGGTTATTTTCTCTCCTTTACTTTCGGTTACATCTCTATTTGTAGCCTCTAGATGGAGCCTTTTTCTCCAAAGAGAAAACAAACTTTGGTGTCAATTACTCTTTCAACACCAAAAAAAAATCTTCTGGTAAATGAATTTCCTCTCAAATCACCAACACAATTGAAGGCACATGTAGCTGTCAAATCATTCGAGTCATCAAAAAATTTTCCAATTACTGGTCAATAGGTATCTCCAATTAATTCCATTCAATTCAATCCCCATTGAAACCAACAAGGTGAGGCCCAGTTTTTCCATCATCCAAGATAGACCCAAAAAAAATCTAGCTTCAAAGACACAAAAAGGGACATGAAAAGTTGAAATCATACATAGTATATAAATATTTGTGTTGTTGAATGGCAAAAGGGGTTTGAAATTTGAATCCCTAAGGGAGCATGCATTATGGCTCTCCACCTTTCCCTTAGATCACAATCAGTGTCAAACGCAAGCCAAGGATCACCTTACCTTGGGAGAATATCAGAGGAGCCTTTACCTTTTCATAGCAAAAGTAGTGCTCAAAGCACCGTGACATGCATCTACCAAGCCAACGTTGCATCGTATTGGAGGAACGTGTCAGTGTTGTGGTGCAAAAACCTCATGAGCCACACGTTAAACCTCAAGATTGACAGCATAAAAGGTGAGTTAAGCTACACCTGCAAGATAGACGTGAAGCCATGGTACTTTTGGAACAAAAAAGGGTACAAATCTTTTGAGGTTGACGGCCACCAGGTGGAGGTTTATTGGGACCTCCGGTCGGCGAGATTCGCCGGCGGAAGCCCCGAGCCGAGCGGGGACTACTACGTGGCGATGGTGTCCGGTGAAGAGGTTGTGTTGTTGTTGGGTGATCACAATTACAAGAAGAAGGCCTTCAAGAGAATGAAGATGAAGCCAAGCATTGTGGAGGCACTTTTGTTGGTCAAGAGAGAAAGCGTGTTCGCCAAGAAAAGTTTTGCAACCAGGGCCAGGTTTGATGAGAAGAGAAAAGAGAATGACATTGTGGTGGAGAGCTCAACATCGGGGAACAAAGAGCCTGAGATGTGGATCAGCATTGATGGGATTGTGTTGATTCATGTCAAGAACTTGCAGTGGAAGTTTAGGGGGAACCAAACAGTTATGGTCAACAAGCAACCAGTACAAGTCTATTGGGATGTGCATGATTGGTTGTTTAGTGTGCCTGGCTCAGGGCCTGGTCTGTTCATTTTCAAGGCTGGACCTGTGGAGGCTGAGAATGAAAGAGAGGAGAGAGGTGTTGAGGGATGTGAAAGTGATGATGGTAGTTGTGCCAGTGGATATTATTCAACCTTGAGTTATGCTCCTGTTGAGTCTTGCCTAGTGCTTTGTGCCTACAAGCTTGAATAATGTATAAATATAATTCTGGAGTGGGGGCAAAGAGTAGCAAGAATGTAAAGATAATTAGTTCTATCTTTTTTTCTTGATTGTAATGGATGCAATGCAAATGCAACCAATATTATAAAGGGTCTCAATTGCTTTTCAAAAATGAATTCATAGTTGGATATAGATGCTGCATGTGATTGACATTTGTAACTTTGCATTGTTTGGCGGTTTAATTTTAAGATAAAACTTAGATAAATTTTTTAAATGAGGTTAATATTATTTTTCAATCAAAATTACAATTTTATCTTAGTATTAATACAGGTTTCATTAATATATATTTACATATATTATCGAAGTAAAATATCAGTTGTAATCGAAGAACAGCCCCATCTTCACTTAAAAAACTGTAAATAAGTATTGTCTTTAAATTTATCAGCAACCTTTTGTGCGATACTTTCTGCCAACTAACTAACCATATGGCTCTGCAAAGGACACGGTTATAATGACAATAATAATTTAAAATGATATTTAAGAGGGTACAATGCAAGTGGCTCGGTTGTTTATGAATATACATGCATAAGGAGTAAGTTGAAAATCGGGAAAAGAATAAGAATAATATGTGAATGAATACATCGAAGAGGTTTGGTTGATTTTAAGTATATCATGTTTTGATTGGTTTCCAAGGTGGTGGAGGAGGTGGATTTTGTGGTCCGAGTGGTGGAATGGCTGAGAAAATGGTGTTCCTGTCGATGCCACTACCTGTGGTGCTTGTTAAGGAAATTAATGCAGCCACTAGTCCTGCATTTCCAGCCAAAGTTGGCTTTGTGAAGTTGTAATTTTTTCTTGAGTCATGGAATTGGTCGAAACTATTTGGTCCTCCAACCATTGCTCCTGTGATGGTGTTAGGATTTGGGTTGGGAGTGTCACGCCAGTTCCAACCCCCAGTGCATGAGTGATGTTTGTGATCATTTGGTATGGATGCTCCACGATGGTGAACATGCCTAGGAAATTTGTTTCCAAACCCCACTACGTAGCTCATTTTCATGGGATTTTTACCCAAGATGTAATCGATCTGTTCCATTGAAACATGAAAACATACATGTTAAATATTTGCAATTAATATGAAAGCTGGATTCAAACAGAATAAAAAGGCTTGAAATGTTCAACCAAGAGAGGATCATTCATTTCCATCTAATTTATGGTGTATCTGGTTTCCAATAATAATGTAGTATGTTTGTGGTTCTTTGTGAAAGCAAAAACAATATTTTTTTTCAAACCAAACATGCCCTTGCAGTTAATTCTTTCTAATAAAGCAAAGTAAATGAATCAAAATGGAGATGGAACCTGAGAGGTTGCAAATGCCTTGAGAGCAGATGCTGAGAAGTAAGTAGAACCACAATACCATCCAGGAGCACCAATCACTTGCATATAATCAGCAAAAAGTGATGCCATGAAAGCAGCATTAGCTACATATTGGAGAGACTGAGGTTGTCCACGGTTCAATTGGATCAACCCCCCTGCAAAATTTCCATGCACCTCATCATAATGTTGATTTGTCACATCCAATTTAGAAATTCATCGAAAAAGCAATAAAATGAATCTTGGTTAGGTAAACTCTTTTATCACTTTTGTAAGAGAAAAAAAAAAATGAAATAACTTTTTTTATAAGTTAAAACCAGAATATGTGTAAGTTAAAAATAAGATTTTGGTAAAGCTAATAAGAAAGAGTTTCTACAAATTACTTTATGTTTAAGCTAATTTTAGATTTTATGAAGAAATTTATTTCATTTTTTCTTCTTTCTTAAAAATATTATTGAGAAATTTATTCAAACAGACTCTTAATTACCTTTAGTCCTATTGAAGACTTTATAATGATGAAGATAAGAGCACATGGTAAGACTAGTGATATTATGGTACATCATGAGCATGTCCTCGTAGGGGTAGCCAGGGCTCAAAAACATCCTGAGTCGTGTCAACAACAGCATTGCAGCAGGTAACTTGTTATCCCAACTCAGAACACTAAACTGAGGAGTCAAGAAATAGGCCTTGGAATGCCTGAATATGGAGGGATTGGTGGCCAAGGAAAGATAGGTACTATTCCCAGTGGCATAATACAACCATGCAGCACCCCACATGAACTCATCATAGTAGCCAGTGGAGTTATAGAAGGGTTCAATATAAGGCTCCCCACGACTATAGGGCTTCCTCTTGCCACCATCTCTGGCAAAGTCAAACACAGTTTGGGCACCCTTTATGAGTTTTTGGGAGTAGGTAACATCGTCTTGGAAAACTATAGAGGCTGATGCTAGTGCTGCTGCCATTTCTCCCGCAAGATCGGAACCTGTTAGAGATAAAATTAAAGTCTTATATCCTAAAACAAGAAGACAATAATATCATTATGTTGTAGAGTCAACAACAAAATATAACCAACTTTTCAATATTAATATATATATATAA